TACATGCTGGCAGCTGCCTGCTGTTGGTGAAGTTTGTAAACCTCTCTCATCGGTGCTATCGGTTGATGAGCCATCGTCGTGCGCATCTGGCTGCCTCTTCTTCTTCACCATCACTTCTTTTGTAACTTAAATAATGGGATAGAAGTCAGTTATAGCGTAATTCCAAACTAAAATATAATGCATACAATTTACAAAAGGTAAAACATAATTAACATATTTTTGCAACATTCAATTTTGATTATTTGATTATTTGGTTTTTGGATATCGGATTTCGGATTTCGGATATGGTATTTCGTATTTTTTTCAAGTCTGCAAATTTGGCCCAATTCGGGTCCTTCCCATTTCAATCATTACGTTGCGTATTGAGGTTAAGTAGAGACAATTAGCTTGCAAGAAAATTTTATCATAAGCAACAACAAATCTGATAAATTTTGACAGTTAATATAAGTTTTCAACAATATTTTAACAAATGTGGAAGCTAATTTTCTTTGTTTGTCTACACAAAATAATTTACATCGCTAAAAAGACGATGCGTTAGAGGCTTGGATCGACCCACGCACACAGCAGTACGAACTTTTTTCTTATTTATTTACCTTACTATGCTTGTAAACTTTAATAAAAACAAAATTTTGATATTTTTTCAATATTTAAATTCATTAAACATGTTTAAAAATTATTAATCAAAAAGTCGTCACTCAAAACAACGTGAAATTTTTCGCTCTCATTTTTGTGTTTTCTTTTGTCATTATTTTGCGTTTATTATGTTGGCAAAATTGATACGCTGTAGCGCCCCCTGCATGTGACTTTTGTTTATTCCAATAGAGAATTCTTGTGCGTTTTTCTGAACGTACTGTTGATATATGCAGTCATTATATCAAATTTATATAATTAAATAAATGTATGCACAGTAAAAATAAAATAAAAGTAATTTAATAGCAAAATAATAATTTTAATGTAATTGTAATTTTATTTTTATTGGACTACTACTGAGTTTGTGTATATTGAAATTATTTTCTCCACTTTTTGAATGCCACTGAACGTACTTCACCAATGCATATTTAAATTGAGAATATTACTTATATATTATTACATTTGTACGCATATTTTATCAAAATATGTAAAATATTTCGATATTACACAAGGAAAAAGATAAACAAATACATTTTAACTGGTAGTACATTTTGTTTATGATGAGCTGACGAAACATCTTAAATTTTAAAGTCTATAACTAGATTATAGTTTTAAAAATTTTTATCTGAGTCCGTACATATTCCCATTATGTTACTGCTTAAACTACTCTCTTCAACGGTTTATCAATCTGCCCATTATGGACTCCCTTCCATTTTGGATCTAGAAGAACTATACAAGTCTTACTCAAAGGGACCTATTCTTCGACTCTAAAGTCATATAAAAATTACTATTTTTAACAGGTAAATCAAAAATAGATGACTTGAATAATGACAAAACAAATGTATTTAACTTTTATCATATTTATAATAATAACCCCACAAATTGAAAGCTTTTGAAGCAAGCCAATTCTATAAGACAACGTATCATTTAGAATTTTTGAGATGCTTCACATTCATCTAATTCAAAACAAATCTGCTATAAGGATATCTTAGGATTAACCAATGATTAAGATTAAAAACATATTAAGATTAAAACATATTTATTTTATTTGTTCCTAGAACCATCGTAAAACATTTCATCAAGAGGAAATAAGTATTAGCTCAAAACGTCCATATCAGTTACTTTAGCTCGCTCACTAGGTCTGCGTCGTTCAATGACACACAATTTCAGAGTTTCAACACTTAACTGTTCTACCGGTGTAAATTTGTCACAATTGCTGAACATTTTTGCGGTTAGATTAGAAAACGTAACGGGTTCTCCAAAGATATCGCTGATCATATTTCTAGTGGAAACGAAGCGGGGATACATGAAGAGAACTAGTCGACCACTTTCGATTTCTACCACGCAGTTCAGGCAATGAAGGTTCTTGTCGTAATTTAAGCAAATAAAATATCCCTTAAAAGATACACGGTAACTCAGTAACAAATATCTTATATCGTCGTTTTCGATATATCCAGGACTGCGTTGCGAGTTCATAAAATTCGTACCAAGCCGAGTCTGTGTGGAAATCTTTTTGTGGTAGAAATTATAGAAAGATGCAGCGAGGCAGATCATGAAACAGTCTGATCTGTAAAACCTCAGAACCTAGGAACGTTCAATTGGATGATATCAGCTCGCAATCAGTCGAGAGATCCAGTTACAATGCCGATAGTAATAAATTTTTTATGTATTTAGAGATCGATGCTGATTTCTTAAATGCATTTTCATATAGAATATAACAAAAATATTAGACCATTCAGTTTCAAATTATGTTGGGTGGTTCTAGTTAGTTGTTAGTTGTGGTGGAGGGAGAAACAAGTTCTCCTCAATTAGCTAAAAAAACCGTTTTGAAACCACAAAACCTCGTAACAATGGGTAGTAGAAAGAAGGAGAAGCTAGAACCAGCCAGAGCCATTTATAAAGGTAACAATCTGGCCAATGCTAATACTAGAGATATCGTCGAGTGTGTTGACGAAGGGGACCCCAGAAACTTTAGACTAGTTTTGGCCAAACCTGGACATAAACACCTTTGGTGTTCTGGTGTCATTTTTCGAGAACTGGTAGACACACATTATAGGAAATATCACAGGGTAGGCCAAGTCTAACTCCATGCCATCTTATGATCCGGTGCCCAGGACAGATCCAGGACAGATATTAAACTAGATACCTCTGATTTGCTTCTGTTGGTGGTCCTATAAATATTCGATTATAAGTAACCAGTAAAACCGAATAAAATTATATTATATCGGGTACTAAGTTTTCTATTTTTGAATTGGGTTTCTACAGTATTTGAAGAAAAAACGGGTTTTTATTATTGCGTACTCGCTGCCTCGCACTTTTATTGTAAAAGGGAAAGATATATGTAAGTATTTGACTATAAAAGGAGCTATCTATTTTTTATTAATAAAACTATTACACACTATATATGGTTTAATTTTATAATTTATGGAGGCCATATTTTCGCATATAAGGTATATTAGTACAAACTGTAGTCTGAAGAGCCATTCGAACAAATGTTAAATAAAAGGACACTTAGCTTTTGTGTCACTGTCTCCGTTCACCACAAAGTCTAATCTCACTGATAAACCGCAAAGGAAAAGCTGATGACAACGAAGTGTATTGACGCTGACAGGAATAAATGTGAATGATCAAAGCGGCGGCATCACTGAACGGAGCTTGAAAGAAAAACAAAGCCAATGAAGCGCCAACCGCTGTGTTAACCACAGAAACAACACCAACAAAATGTTAATATGCAACGTAAGACATAAAAAAAGAATTAATAAAAAAAATTAAAAAGAATTTAAGTTTGCAAAATGCGATAACAACTGACAAATGTGCTGGTCCATTGGACACGCATGACGCAGCGTCAATTTGGATTTTGTTTCGCGTATCAGTTTTAGTGCAGCTGTCACTTTTGATTAATTCCAGATACTATTCCAGATATTTGTTCAAAGGAATACGACGCTTAGGGCATAAAAATATTTAATAAATAAATGTGATTATGAAAATATAGATTAAAACATATTAAAATCAAATATTTCTTCTTAAATTTTAGTTGGAACTATTCTATATCGTCACATCCCATGTACGCAACTCCACATTTAGACTTCGTGGATTTGAGCCCTACGAAGTGAAGCTGTCGATATTATTATCGGCGCTTATCTCCAATGCCAGTTTCACTCATTCGGCCGCAGTGGAAGTAGAATTTCTGGCTTAATTAAACGTAGATAAGCGTTTAAATTCATGTTGCATTTAAGACAAAAAACCCAGACGTACAAGAGAGACAAATTAAAAGGAAAAACTCAATTAAAAAAAATGAAAAAAAAAACAAAAAAAATTATAAGAAACCTGTATTCCCAGTGGAGGCCGCGGCAAACGATGAAAGTAGCTTCAATGATCCATTTTTTATGCTCCATGTTTCTCTATCTGGTGAATACATTAAATTTAAATTGCAATTAAAAGTACTAAAGATAATTTTTAAAATAATTTTTCATATAAAAACTTTATTTATCTAAGGAGCGCAATACGAGTATATTTTATGAGAAATCTTAACTATTACAGCTTAAGGAATTTTATCGATTATCGATAAACTGTAAATGAAATAAATTTTCATTTTATGAGAAAACTTTGAGGAAGTCTGAAAGAATTTTTAAAAAATTGGAAAGGAAATAACAAAAATGATAATAGCATAATGGCACTAAATTTTACACATACACATAGTAATAAAAGGAAACCGATATCTCTATTTGAATATGAACTATTATAGTAGTTTCCATTTTTAACCATAGGTAACACAATACAAATACCATGAGTTAACATAACATACCTTGCAGATGAGAATGAGCAAGTCTTTTATATGATTAACTGCTGTTAAGGTTTTAGACTAAAGCATCGAATGCCACAGTGTGAGACTTGAACCCACTAAAATCACCTCTTAGGAATGAATGGAGAAGATTTTCGCAGCATTGAGGAAACTTTATTACATTAATCAAGGAAGAGGTGTGAACATATAGGCTTAATAGCGAGCTTGGTTCATCTAAGCCAGAAAGCAGGGGCGTAAATTAGGAAGATAGATTAATGGTGAAGAGGTTGAGACTAGCGATAAACTTTGTGACCGCAGTGTCCTCCACACACTTATCAATGCGCCGAAAAATATCTTACAGAAAAGAAATTCCTCAAATTTAATCGACACCAATTAATGTTGTGTGTTTAGATATGGTGGGGAGCGGACCGTGTATAATGCTTCTGCTGTTTTCTGTACCATAGCACAATGTGGATATCGAATGAGATACAAATTATACAATGATTCTACCCGCGTATATTTTCATTATAACCAAAGGTTAGTAACAATAATAAAGTTTGATTGCGTGATGATCCCTTAACTAATTAAGGGATCAATCTCTATTAATTTGTTATAAACCCTGTTTAATACTAATTAGAGTCAAGGTTAAAGTCGTAAAACTCATGGCGGTGCTGTGTGAACAACGATCTTGTTACGTATCCCTTTCCAAAGTAAGTAATGAAGCTGCAGTTTAAAAGAGTAGAGGAAAAAGAAAGCAACTGAACACTTTTGTTGCAAATTCCTTAGCAAACAGAAACAAACAGAGATCTTCAAATGATAATCTTCTTCAACAATTAAGGTGGTTAGTTTTAAAACTTGATTTTTTGAATGAGTCGGTGGTGTCATATCGGCGCCTACTTACCATAGATAGAAGACGGAGCTCTGATAAACTTAAACCAACCAAACCAAAGAAACCTCTTTAAACTTAGACATTATTCAACTTCTTAAACAGGAAGCTGTACACATCAACAATAGGATTATATAAAAATCCTGGAACAAACTACTGGCTTGTTACATGGAAGCCAATTGTATTGTTCTGTATACATTATAAACAGATATTTTCTTTCGAATAAAATGCTACTGACTATTACCAAGCAACAGAACTTTAACACTTAAGTAAAAGGATGATTTTATGA